AAGAGCAACTGTGATACTGGAGCTTAACTACATGAGCTGAAAAGCAGGGAGAGACATTTTCTGTTTCAAGAACGTGCACTAGGGCAGATCATGGAATTACGGGTCTAGTCTCGGCCCTTCTACTGGCTGTTTAACTTTAGCCAAACCTCTCTGAACATTAGTTCCTTCATCATAAAAGAAGGGATAGGTTTAGATTAAGGATTTACTTAGGTTCCAAGGAAGGGTATCAGGAAGTCAATGAACCCCTAGAAGTTATAGGCAAAATTTGATGTCTATGTGTCTTTTTCTAAGAAGAAGATTCATGGTTTTCATCGGATTCTCAGAGAGATCTGGGTCTCAAACTTTTAAGAATCATTTATTTAGATAGTCTGTTAGTTTTTCGCCAGTTCTGACAATATTTGACCCTACTTTTTAAAAAATGTCTGTGTATGGGGTTGGCCCCGTGGCCAAGTGGTTAAGTTCGCACGCTCCGCTGCAGGCGGCCCAGGGTTTCGTTGGTTCGAATCCTGGGCGCGGACATGGCACTGCTCATCAAACCACGCTGAGGCAGCATCCCACATGCCACAGCTAGAAGGACCCACAATGAAGAATATACAACTATGTACCAGGGGGCTTTGGAGAGAAAAAGGAAAAATATAAAATCTTTAAAAAAAAAAAAGTCTGTGTAGTTCATTATCATTAGGTACGTTCATGAAATATACGCATGTGTATACTGCCCAGCTGAGTGCAAGACAAAAATAGGATGAGACAGATATGAACCTACTGGGAATGGATCATTATTATCACCATCACCATTAATGTGAGAAGATGAGGGAAGGACATGGAATCTTAGCGAGACCTGTCGTTATACTTCAGACCAACGGACTATACATTCAAGCCTTCCTCAAACTCATTTTCTGGGAATGACTTCCCCATCCTGGCAGAATTTTCAATGAAGAAGGCTACTGTTAATCTAGTACTAACATACTCAACATAACAAAATCAGTTTGTTATATTATCTGGTCCCTGTCCATGTAATGTTCTATGTACAATTTTTTTAAAAAATAGTACTGGTCCTATTTGCATTAATGCCAAGGAAGCAGAAAGGCAAGCTGAGGTAAAACTGGGTCCTCACAATTGTGTCATCCACTGTCAAAGGGTGAGAATCCTCCAATCTTTCAGCTTTCTTGACTTTAAATGTTTCAAATGTCCAATTCTCTTAACAAATAGTTCCCAAGCTTTTAGTTTATGCAAGGTACTGAAAGTGGTACACAGATGAAAGAGACACTGTCCTGTCTCCACGGAGCTTACAGTCTGACTGAGTATTAGATGAGCATTCAGGTCACTGTAATACAAACAAGCATAATAGAAAGGCTACTGGGATTCAAAAGAAGGAAAGAAAGAGTACATTCTGCTGAGGGAATCATGGAGGGCGGCTAGAGGAAGTGGTTTTTGAGGTGAGACTTGGAGGGTGAACGAGATTTTGATCTGCAGGGACAGAGAGTAAGAGGGCATTTTTGGTGAGGAATTATCATAAACAAAAGTATAGAGCCAGAAAGAAGCCTGGGGCATGTTTAGAGCACAGGAAGTAATCCAGGTTCCCTGGAGAGTTGTCTAGGGGCAAGGAGGAGAGGAATTATGAATGATATTGTGCAAAATTTTATATGAGAATGAAGTGTTTGTACTCAATATTACAAGCCATGGAGACTACTAAAGGTTTATGGGAAAAAGGAGTGAGATCATAGAATTATAGAAATCTTGAATTCACTCCTATTTTACAGACAAGGGAGTCAGAACAAGAACTCAGACAGCTTGCCAGATTCCTAATTCAAATTCTTTGCATTATACCAGGTGCCTCACAAGGTGACACTAGTGGCAGTGTGCAGGTTGGAGAACAGAGAGTTCAGGCAGGAGACCAACATGGCAGAAGCCCAGGAGAGAAGTCCAGGTGGAATAAGAGGACACAAGCCTCAGGGGAGGAGGGCAGGAGGGGCATCGGAGTTGGGGGAGGGGCTGGGGCTGGGGCACCCATGAATCTCCCTTCTCTCTCCTCCATGGGGCTCACAGCATTACTTGTTCACTCCCATCAGAGAGTCAGGGCATTTGAGTCACTCACTGGCAGGTCCAGAAAGCAAGGAGTCAACTGGTCTATCCTTGTTCAGACTACGAACTCTTAGCCCTTCTGACTCCCCTTCAATACTGTGCATTCTCCAGAAAAAAAGAGGCCAGAAATCATGTCAGCGGTGATCAGAAGCAGCCCTGGAACTGCTCCTTTAAGGGACTAGTAGATGATTTTAGGATTCAGGCAACTCTGGGGTTTTCTTTCTGGCTTTACTAAAAAGTGCCAGAGCATGCCATGGCTCAAAACCACTTTGGAGACAAGGGAATTCAGCCCACAAAAGCACCTCCCCAAGGGCTTCCGACCCTTGCAGGGATGTCAGTCAGAGAGGGGTTCCTTCAGTGTTGCTCCCCTCAGCTCCCTTTCTCTGGTTCAACAGCCTCATCTCGGGTCTCCTGCTTTGTCCCTTGTCCTGCCCGAAATTCCTCTCTTCTGTGACTTCTTGCTTGAACAGTTTATTCAACTTAGAGCTGGGACATCATGAGTCTGAGTCTGTCTCACAAAGGCATAGATGTGGCAAAAGCTTAATAGTAGGTGTGAATGATGAACATCCAGTTGTGCAGAATTCTAAGTCAGTAGTCCACTTTTTCTCTTCTACATGGCTTTAGCTTGTAGCAATGTTATAAAGACAGAACCAAGAAAGAAATCATGAGAAGTAGCTTCTGTGAAAGGACACAGTATCAACCCAACAGATTATTTTCTCACCAGAGGAATGATTACAGGTAGTAGGCACTCAGTACAGAAGGGCCAGCAAATCAATGACATCTTTTGATCCACGCCTCAGTGAGTTCCTCTATCTCATGAACTGAGAGGACAACCATCACCAAGCCTAGCTGATTTCAACTGACCTTGTGGGCCAAAGTCAATTTCCTCTTTTCAATGTAAACTGTGCCCAAACGCTTCTGAATAGAGAGCAAGTCCTCAAAACAATTTAGTTTTGTTTCCCTTCCCCAGGCCTCTCCTATAGGGCAGGACCACGCTGACATCTCATGCTTGATGAAGAGAACTAAACTGGACTTCCCTATGGAGAACACTTTTAAGAGCCCTTCTGTAGTGACAGAAGGTTGTATACCTGGCGGTTTAGTGAGTAATCTCTGAAGGCAGACAACCTACATTCGAATCCTATCTCTGCTAATTATGAGCTTAATGCCTTGAGCAAGTCACCTCTTTACACCTTGATTTCTTCATCTGTAAAATGGGGATGATAATAGTGGGTAGCCAATAGTGGTGTGAAGAATAAATGAGTTAACAAGACAGTACATATAAAGTGCTCAGCATAATAAGTATTTAATGAATTCTAGTTGTTTTTAATAAAGCAGCTCTGAAGTTTGAGTCTCCTGAACATCTGGTAATAGATAGCTTAGGGTAGAGGCTAGTAAAGGTGACAAAGGTGCCATCCAGATATGCCAGCTGTGTACAGGGGTAGCATTGCAATACTTGGCTAGTATTTAAAGAGCTTTGAAAATAGTGGTTCCCCAACTGCCCTGCTTGAGCAATAGTTTCGGAGAGTCCATCTCTTGTATTCCTCTAACCTAGGCGGTTGGTGGCCTCAGGCTGGCCTAGAGAGCCATGCATATGGCCCAGTGGGTTTGTAAAGTTTAAAAGAAAAAAATAAAAAGAGAGGGCTCTAGACATCCATGTCAGGGTGACTTTTTATTGCCTCTCACTTTTGTTTGGGGGTTTTCTAGACATCAAGCCCTCTCAAACTCCTGGAGTTTTAGGCTGTCAGAGCTAGAAGAGACTCAGGAATCATCTAGTTTTCTTGTTTAGAGCTAAACAAACTGAAGCCCTAGATACTAAGTTGTCCAAGGTCACCCAGCTAGTCAGTTGAAAACCAGGACTAGTTCTTGGAGGCCCGGCGTCCAGGCAAGCGCTCACTGTCCCACGCGCGGCTGGCTCTTTGGTTTTCTGAACTCGGACTAACTTTTGGTCCTGTCCCTGGGTGGACCCCGTGCTTCCGTGGTGCACATCCTGACTGTTCTTCAGCTCTCGGCCTGCCTTCCCTGCCCCCGGTGCCTCAGAGACTCTCAGTCTCCCTCCTGTCGGCTCTTGCCCGCACACATCCTCAAGTGCACAGTCCTGCCCAGTCCTGAAAACCCACCGGCTTCCAAACCAGGTGAGTCTGTGCCTTAGGGCCTCTGAGGCCCCAGGAGTCCTGCCTGAGTGACACCCAGAGGGACAGCAGGAGGGCTCCTCCCTGCCCCAGAACCGATTTCTCTCTGGTTCTTCTCTTCCTCTCCATTTTTTCCTAAGTCTTCGTGGCACTCGCTTTGCTCAGTCTCCCTCAGGCTGGCTCTTCTGCTTCGTAGTATCCTTCTCTTTTCTCTCTTCCTCTCCACCTTCCCCGTTTCCCTCTTCTTCCTTCCCCGGGTCATGGCGCGTTTGCACCTTCTCGGTGCTCCTGGTGCTCTGCCCTTTCCCTCTCCCCCTTTCCTCTCCCGCTTCTCTTCCTCCATTCCCTTCCTCTTACTCTTCAACACATCTGTTTCTAATCGGAGCCCTCGAGGCGCCTGTTTGAAACAAAAAATCTTCCCCCACCCTCAGGAACCTGGCACAAAAATTCCTGAGTAAACCTTCCTTCCCCGAGTTCTCCGGTTTCCCCAGATGCTCCTGAAACTAAACACTACCCTCCACATCCATCGGTTCACGGCCAAACTCGACCAGGAAACACCCCCACCCCCAAGCCTGCTCCAGGGCCCAGATGTGTAAGACGTTTTCGATGGCCGACTGGGCGGCCCCCCGCTGCCAGATGTGCTCCTCTGCAGCCGGGAGGCAGGGACCGAGGCGTCCGGCGCACTCCACGGGCTGCGGGGACAACCGTTCGGAGCCAGCGTCCGGGCTGGGACGCACGACTGTGTTTGCCCAGGGCCATCCGATCTCCTGCCCTCGCCGAGGCACTCACCTAGCCAGAGGAGGAGGAGGAGGGTCATCCCGATCCCCGGACGCGGGCACTTCCCCGCTCAGCCGCTGCCTGGCTCCGGGGCGGCCGGGCGCAGCCGACGGACCTTCGGCGAGCTGGGCGCGGCGCCTCGGGGTGCGCGCGGGGTGGCAGCAGCCATGTGCCGGCGCGGGAGCTGGCCCCGCGCCCCCGCGCCCAGGTCCCCGCGCCCGCGCTGCCCGGCGCGGAGGGGCTTCCAGCGCTCGCCCCACCAGCTCGCGCCCAGACGGGAGCGGGGACCAGGGTCAGAGAGGAAAAGGCGAGGCGGAAAGGCGCTACTGCTTCGTGGAACACTTTTCCCTGTTTGGAAAGAAAAAGGAGTGAAGAAAGAGAGAGGGGAAAAAAAGAGAGTGAGCTGGAACCACATGGTTGCCTCCTCCCGGCAGCCCCTCCCTCCCTCCCTCGCTCGCTCGCTCCCTCCCTCCCAGCGTTTGGGGTGAGCAGCGGGGCCCGTCGGCCGGCGGAGAGCGGGAGTCGCTGGGCAAGGCTCCACCTCGGGGCCCGAGCGAGGGCCCAGGGGGTCGGGGCGCGCAGAGGCGGGGCGGCTGCGCGAGGCCTCGGTGTGGAGTTGATTCTGTGTGGGAGGGCATTGGCGACACCTCGGCTAAGAGCCGAGGGATGAGGCCTCAGTCTCCCGGTCTGTCCTCACTTTGCCCTTCCCTCCGCTTCTCTCTGGATCTTTCTCTCGCTCACACTCGTTCTGTCTGCTTCCGTGTCTCTCACAAATCTGCCCTGTCTCCCTCTTCTATCTCCTTCCCCCTCCCTCCCTCTCTTATTCACATTCTTCTGGCCTCTCCTCTCTCACCTTCTCCCTCCTCTCCCGTCTTTTCTCCTCTCCTCTGCCCTCCCGGTCTGGTTTTGTCAGTAGGAAACTACAGACCGACCATAGAGACAATAAGTGTGGAAGTGACAATTAAGACAGTCAAGCAACCCGTCTGGCTGTGGCTTTCCTGGCTTCACTGCCTGTTTTGGCACCACAGGCGCCCTTTGCCTCCCTTTCGCTTGGCCTTTCTTGTCCTCTCTTTTTCTTTCTGTGGTCAGTATTTACAGTCGCCCGCCCTCAGATCCGGGCAGAGCTAAGCTAGCCATCAGCCCAGGGAGTCCCGCTCAGTCCAGAGCTCAGTGGGTGGGGTCCCTTAGGAAGCGCTGGAGCAAACCCCACTGCATGTGGCCCTGGCCCAGATATGCACACCCCCCACCACCACCCCTTTTAGAGAGAAAAGAAGGCCGAAGGCATGGAATTCCCTTTGTGCAAGGGCCCAGGGAGCTGGCCTAGGAGGTCCGCGGAGGGCTGGGGGTCAGCGCTGCCGGTCTGCCTTCTGGGAGGGGACTAGAGAGGGACAAGGCAGTGAGGGCCACGCTCAGGTCTCAGCTGTCTGGAGCTCCTGCCGTGCACATGTGTCCTGGGCCCTGAGGAACCTTGGACCTGCGCTCTCGGGTCCCCAGCCTCTGGATGTCCCTGAAGCAGTGGACTCTCCTTCAGCCACACTAAGACATGCGGAACTGCTCACCTTCAACCTCACCTGAGCCTGTATTGGGAGCCAGGGCCAGGGCTCTGAGAAGCTGGGTTCTGTAAGAGAGATTGACCCCTCCAGGCAGGACAGGCAACCGGATCACACGTTGCCCTGTTTTCCAGTCCTCTCTCCAGGGGTCTTAGATCCCAGGAGCTGAACAGTCCTCTCTAAATAGCTAGTCCTTTCAGGTTGTAATCAAGAGCAACCCATTTCACAGATGAGGAAAGCAGAGGCTTGGAGAGGCTATGGGACTCTCACAAGGTCACTCAGAAGGAATGGGAAAAGCAAGGGCTGTTGCTGGGGTTTGGGGTCAGCTGTGGAGTTGCTGTGGTAGAATTCCGGCATTTGTTCAGCCCTGCTTCTTCAAGAACTTTTTATTACGCATCCACTCTGTGCCAGGTGCTTTTTTAGGTGAGGACACAAAGTGAATAGAACTTGGTTATTGACATTTTTTAAACATTTGGAACTAGTATGTTATGGCAGCAGCTGTGGACTGGGAATCATGTCAATTATTTAATATTTATCTTTTTATTTAATTCTTATGACAATGCCAGGGGATAGGCATTTTTAATTCCACCTTAAAGATGTGGAAACTATAACCTAAAGAAGTTAAATATCTTGCCCCAGATCACAAAATATTAAAACTCCTCTATTCTAATATTAATATTCTAATTTAGTATTCTAAAATATTATTATTTTTATATTACAAAATATGTAAAAGTTCTCTTTGACTCAGTACTTTCATTTTCCATTTTATGCTTCTTATCTAATAAGGGAAATAGAAATATTCACAATTATAATACATATGTGAATGTGTTGAGAAAAATGTTAATTTTTCTTAAAGGCTGAAGAAGGTGGATGGGAAACTATAGAGTGAAGGTGACTTTTTGTTATTCTGCTTTAAAATTCTATTTGACATTTTGATATAATCTCAGACTTACAGAAAAGTTGCAAAAATAGTACAAACAATTCTTGGATACTCTTCACTCAGATTCTTCTCTTTTATTTCTTTCGAAAGGAGATACTTTCGCAGCAGTTTTAAAGCCCCGTCTCTAATCCTCCATCGCTGGTGGCCTTCCTCAAGAACCTGGTGACACCATTTATTGCTTGAGGGCTGGAGTGCACATGGCGATAGTTGTGTGTTTAAACCCATGTTGCTCAAGCTGAGGGTAACAAGATGCCTTCAGTTTCAAGTCATTAGTCACCAGCATAGAAAATGGTTTGACTAGGCTGAAATTGGGTCATAAATACTCGGTTTTCCCATGTCTAAAGTCTTATAGCTAGTAGATATTTGGCATATATTCCCTGGGGAGCGTCCTTGGTCCCCTGGAGATGACTGTGCCTAAATCCAAGGCCATTTTTCCATTGTGACGCAGCTGTGGCTCAGAAGAGCAGAGTGCCTCCTCAGATGGCTTGTAACTCAGCAACCCATGCCTACCTCCACTGCATCTCACACTGATTGGGCTGGGTGCCATGGGGAGCCAAAGAGGTATGTGGAAGTCATCCTAAACGGATGTCTCAGTCCAGTGGGAGAGAAAACATAAACATGTGAAATGTTTCAACCACAGTACAAGAAAGTTGCGTAGTTAAGTGCCGGAATAAACTATCCTGGCAGTAAAAACACTGGGAATTCCAAAAAAGGAGGGGGCAATGTAGGCTGGGGCAGTTGTGAAGGTTCCTCGGGAGAACAATTCTTGAGCCAGGCCTTGGGGGATGAGTACAATTTCAGTAGATGAGAGACACTGGGGAGGACCACTGAGGGGTCGGGGTCAGAGGCACTCCTGGCAAAGACATGGAGTTGGCAATAGCTTTGGTGTATTTAGGGGGCATTGAATGAAATGAAAAATTGGTGTTGGAGCAAAATGCCCTGGAACAGTTATCCTGAAGCAAAATTGTGAAGAATCCTAACGTGAGGCAAAGGATCCTGGAACTTGTTCTGCAGCTTCTCCAGACTCATTGAAAAACAATTTAGCAAAAAGAACCTTGGTGAGGACCATATTTTAGGAAATACAAATTAGCAGCCTCTGCCCAGAGGTGACCCCAAGGGTTGGCCAAAGGTGGAGAGTTTAGCATCCTTTGCATCTCTACCAAGTTCCCTACCCCCATGCTTTAATGTGGACAACTGATATTTTCCCAATATTGTGTACAGTGATGTGCATATGAAGCTTCAAGACAGGTCTCATATCCGCCCTACACTATGGGAAGCCAAAGAATGCCACCCCAAATGTCTTCTCAGTAGGAATTTTAGAGCCACTACAGGGTGTGCCTGAAACAGTGGAAGAAAAACCTGGCAGAGGAACTGGTTAGAACCTTGCATTAAATGGGGAGATGAGATGGGGGGGCGGGGGTGAAACAAACATGGAAGACATTTGGAAGGAAGATTAGACAGGTTAAATACCCAACAGTGATTGTGGGCGGGAGAGGGAGTAGAAGACAGACAGGTGCCAAAGGTAGGCATAAGTGATCTAATATATTGTTATATACCCTAAGATTAATAACAGCTATTTCTTGACCTCCTAGTATATTCCAGGCACTGTAAGCATCATCAATCAGCCTCACAATACCATATTACAATGAGGAAACTAAGGTTCAGAAAGAGTAAATAAATTAGTTATCATTCCATGGTTAGTAAATTGAGGCAGGATTTGAAGTCAGAAGATGGAAAGTCCTTACATGTCACTGTCTTTTGATGGCACTACTCATGAACAAGGCAAGTCAAGTAAGTTAACTTGTCAGGAGGTGAAAGATCAATTTAATTTGAGACGTGGTAGCTTTGAGGGGATGATAAACCGTCATCCATCTATCCATTCATTTGTCCATCTATCATCCATCTTTCTATTCTTTCTTTCAGTCAATAATTCAGTAAATCTTTGTTAAGCACCTACCATGGGCCAAGCCCTGGGAAATCAATGGTGAACAAAGTGAAAGTTGTCCTTGCCCCCCAGAAGCTTATGGTGAGTTAAGGAAGATGAACAACCAACAAGCCTTCCCAAGGTGGAGTGAGAAATACTCTGAGAGGGAAAGTGCAGAGTGCTGTGGAGCTGACCCTGAACCTAGTGTAGGAGATGTCAGGGAAGACCTGGGGAAAGTCCTATAAACTGAGTCGGAGGGGAGCGTGGTGAGGAAGAGGGAGATCTGTGCTATTGTCTCATTGCATAGGACACCTGGGAACCATGGACCACATCTTTTCATCCCTTCGAGCTCCAGTATCCATCCACCTTTGCCCATTTCTCTCAGATGAAGACACATGCGCATGAGGGCATTCAGGAGAAGGCAGCTGTGGGATAAGGGAAAGAGCTCTGGGCTTGGAGGCGGACCGTTTGAGTTCTCAGTGGCTTCGAACAGATCCTTTGACTTCACTGAGCCTTCCTTTCCTCCTTTCCTGACACTGTTATGAGGAAGAACTGAAATTATGGTGAAAGCGCCTACCGCAGTGTTTTACACATAGGACACTCAGTAAATATTTGTTCCAACTAAAACTTGAGTTCTTGGGATTCCATTCCCTGCAGTAAAAAAGAGCCAACTTCTGTCTCGTTTCCTTTTTCTATTAAAACGTGGTTATCTTTATATATTCTTTCCTGCCCTGCAAGAAGACTTCTTGACTTGACTGTTCAGTGTGCTGGTTCTTTTTCTGGCTTACAGTTAGAGGCCCCAGCTGGCTTTCAGAGTCTTGAAGGGACACCTTTTCCTGAGGCTGTGTCTGAGGAACCTTGTGTGCTAATGAGGCTAAGGAAGAAAGAGTTCTCACCAAGGTAGAGAAAGCAGCTGTGCACGCCCCAGGGGACCTTGAGTGGGGCAGAGGTGAGAACACTGGGCCCTGCTCCTCTCACACCATGAGCCGG